GGTGCTGCCTTTTACATTTAAGTCTTTGGTCCATTGGTAATTTATTAAGGCATATGGAGGGGTTCACTTTCATTGTTTCCCCCTGAAGGATACCTGTCATAGTACTATTTATTGAAAAAAATTCAACATATATGGTCAGATCTGTTTTAGGGTTCTCTCTTCTGTCCCTGTGGTCATTTTCACTACCCCTGGGCCAATGTCACAAGGCCTTAATTACCATGACTTTACAATACAACTTTATGTCTGGGAGGACTGGTCCCCTCCACTGTACTATGGACATTCTTGACCTTTCACACTTCCATCTAAGTTCCACATAAATCTCTAGATGAAATTTAGAACACTGACATATTCATAATATTGACCCTACCTATCTGTGTCCATGTATTTATGTCTTTTAAATGCCTTTAAAACTGTTGTCAATAAATTCTCTTCATAAAGATCTTACACATCGTTAGGCTGTTGATACTTTATATTTGTGTCACTGTTATGAGTAATATCATACATATCTTCTATTTATTACTTAGCCATACCAATGCTAATGCTTTGTTAGCTAAAAATAGTACATTTTGTTTATCCTTTCTATTCTCTGCCAAAAGCCAATTCTAGCATGTCATAATTGCAAGAGTTTCATCAAAAGGTTGATGGAACTTGGAGACTCAACAAGGGCTGAGTCACATATGTTGTCACCTGTTGGGAATGACTGAAGGCATTTCCCCAAACCTAAAAAGGGATGATTGCTTGCTGCCAGACAGCTCAGGGCATCTTAATCTACATGTTATTGCCTCCTACTGGCCAAACACCTGAATAGCCGTAGGCTAATTCCCCCATTCTGACAATGTCTCTGTATAAGAAACCCTACCCCTTTGAAATGTATATCTCTGCCTCGCCTCAGGACAATTTGTGTTAATAAAAAGCATGGGGTCTCTGAGACAAGGAGATCTTAGTTCCTTTTAGCTAAGCTCCTCTGACCCCCATATGCCTTTCAAAATTATGCTTCGTCTCTGGACTCTTTAAGTTACACACAGCCTTCTCCAGATTGCTGAACCCTTCTTAATGCTGGAACAAGAACCCTGGCATTAATGGCGCCCGAATTGGGACTTCCTGAACCCTGGCAGCACCAATATTAATGGCGCCCAAACAAGGACTTCCTGAACCCTTGCAGATGCTGAGAAACACTCACCAATATTAATGGCGCCCAAACAGGGACTTCCTGAACCCTTGCAGATGCCGAGAAACACTCACCAATATTAATGGCGTCATGAACAGGGACTTCCTGAACCCTGGCAGCACCAATAACTCTCTATACCTTTTATTTTTATTTCCTGTCTTACTGTGCTAGTTATGACCAACAAAGGTATTGAACAGACAGTTCACAGGATGATGTGGTAAAGGGCTGCACATCATATATCAAATAAGCATTATCCTTTAAAGGGAAGAGACACTATCAACAAAATGGTCATTGATGCCAATCCGATAAAAGGTGTAACTGATTTTTGATGGAAGTAAGGGCTGCCAGACATCAAAGTATAGGCCAAGCTTAGAGCCATGAGAAGGGAGCAAGTACTGGCATGACTGACTGGGAGGATAGGAGAGCATTCATACTTCCAAAGGAATAAGACAGAAAAAGGTAATGATGAATTTAGGGGACATGGGCAGATGGATGTGGCTAATGGGTGCATGAGGAGAGAAGAGGATGTGTCCAAACAGAGGCTGAAAGATGGGAGTTTGGGACCTAGGCCTGTAAGGACTCCTATATGGCCCTAACATGTTTCCATTTCCTCTGGGCAATGGAAAGCCACTGCAGGCTTTTGTGAAGGAGAAGGACACAAGGTCTGTGCCTTAGAACGATGTCTCCGGCAGCCACATGGAGACTGGGAATACACAGAGGATCAGGAGAATGGGGAATGATGGTGAGTGACTTGTGTCATTAATGGTGAGGATAGAGAGGAAGGGATTAATTCAAGATATATCTAGGAGGAAGAAAAATCAGTATAACTTCTTAACTGACTGGAATAGGCGTTAAAGATAACCAAAACTTTGAGCTTGATAACTGAATGAACAGTATTATCATTAAGAGGAAAAGATGGTTTGAGATGATTATAACTAACATGTATTGAGTACTTTTCTAAGCCCTTTTAAATACTAATTTAATCCTCACAACAACCCAATGAGCTAATTTACAGATGAAAAAAACGGATGCACAGGAAGGTTAAGTAAGTTCTCCAAGGTCACACAGCCAGTAAAAAGCAGAGCCAAAATTTGAACCCAGATACACTCTCAAATACGTTATACTCTCTGGGACATGTCCAACTAAATGTCCTTCATGTCTGAGGGACATGCAGGGAGTTGTGTTTAATTGACATTTGGAAAACTGAACT